GCGCTGCCCTCTCAGAGAAACCCGGCATGCATTAGCATTTGGTTCCCATTAAGAACTACATAAGAACTCACCTCAACAGAAGAGGAGGCAGTAAACTCACTTCACCAATTATGATCCAGTGGTCACTTGATTTAGCTGTAAATTTCAATTGCAATCTATCTTTATTACCTGTCACCTCACAGAAGTACAGAATCACAGAATGGTGACCCTTAGGGATAACGTAGCCCAACCCCCTGCCATGGATGGGGAGAATATACTTGGCTCCTGACCAGTATGGGATGAACGGGACTCATTTAGACTTGATGCATCTTGCATGTAGCTCCCTGTTGGCTCTCAGGGCCACTCAGGTTCACACAGGTAGAGCCAGAGCAATTGTCTGCGCCACATATCGTGCCATTACATTTGTATATCAATGCTTCATGTGCAAAGCAAAATCTAGCCTTACTATTCGTTCACTTCCTTTCAAAAACTCAGCTGCTATCAGTGCACCTAGTTCTTCACATGGTGACTGCTACTGCTTTCCATGTGTCCGTGCAGCTTGGGGCACCTTCCCTCTCCAATTTGAGGTCAACTCTGGAAACGCTTGATTTTGTTCTTCCTGAACAAGAAAGCTATTCTGATCTATGCTCGCATGGGTTAGATGTTTTTCACATCCCTGGGCAGGAAGGTTATTTCTGACCACCAGACAGGAGCCTTGGGGTGCTACAGCATTTGTAGGTGGCTTTCATCTGGAGGTGCTACCTCCTGAAGTGAATCTCCTTGACTCTGGTGAATCTGCGTCTAATTTTCCTTCATGTATCCTCATAAAGAAGCATTGCTTTTGTTTATCTATAACTAATTTTCCTGTATGTCTCCCTGTAAACAAGCATTGTGTTTAGTTTAAAAACATCCACAGTGACAAGCATTAAATATGGCAATAGAGAGGAAGATGCAACAGCATGGTGATGGTCTGTGCTACTCACAGTTGCACTTGAACTGTTTAATTTCTATCTGCATGCTGGAGTGAAGGTGAAATAAGCACAAGTGTACTACAACAGAATTATTTTGTCTTTTGGCTCCTCATCATTTGGTGTGAAAATATTTTCTACTGTAGGCAATTGCATTTTATGCATTTGAGGAATCTGCCCATAGCACATCAAAATGTCACGTGCTGCACAATTTCAACTATGAATAAACTAAAGGACTTTTTCTGTATTGCATTGTGATTTTCAAATCTTTGCTTAAAAGTAGGCCATAGAATCTTCATTTCATTGAAGTAGTAGATTTTAGGATGTAATAAGAACTGCAGAAACAATGCTTATCAAAAAATCCCTCTCCTGTTGTTAAACATGCACAACATTCTTCTGTCCTTTTCACAGCTCTGTGAATTCGATGACGTACCACAGTGGGCTCCATCAGAAAAAGGAAATAAAGCAAAGCTAATTTCTCATCTGATACAAAACAAATAGTTAACTTTCTAACATGAATATGTATTAAATGTTTTGCCATTTTAATTATGTGGAATTTTTTTTACTGTTTACGCTGAATAGCAGATGCTGTTTTGATTCTTTTTTATAATTTTTTTTTTAATCTTAAAAATTGAAAAACTTAATAATTTAAGATACAGAAGTAAACAATTAAAAAGTTTAAACACAACTGTAGATTTCGGAACTATATGCACAAGTTTTAAAATGTGATTATGTGTTGTTCTTTTTATGTTACTGATGACTTTAGCACTGGGGTAATCTAAACATCGCTTAGCGTTACCACTATGGCCTCCATTATTGTTTGAGATTATGCAAGGAGCGCAAGTGCAAATACTTACTTTACAAGCTGTATTTGCCATGGCCCTCTATGCAAGTATATACTCAGTTCTGTGTTTCTATATGCACATGTACTGTTCATTCTATTTCTGAAAATTGTTGCACTTTTTCTTCTTTATTCAGTGCTGTGACCACACATCTTTATAATTCTTTCTCATTAAGCGCTTGTTCACTGAAAAAATCAAAACTTTTTTAGTTAGGAGTGTATGGCAAAAGAAGTCAATGACAGTGCCTTCTAATGGAATATAAACACTATAGAGCAACAAAAGATAACAAAGAAGGAAAATTGCTTCACCCACAACTCAAAAGAAGTGCAATCTCTACCTGAAAAGATGCTGCTCTCTCAGCTGCTCACTGTTCAGTGAAAGTGAGGAGAGTCCACCCCTTCCAGTCAATCAGGTGCACTGCTTGCACCTCAGCTCCCTGGTTTAGCTGCTCCTTCTTACCTGGTGTTATTCCATTAGTACAGGCCATGATCTGGCAATTTCAGTGCAATGGGTTTATGTTACTCTGTTAAGCAGAAAAGTTTCGCAAATAACATAAACCAATCACAGTTTACGACAGATCTTCAGAATATAGAAATGGAGAAATATGATGAAAAACTTTTGCTTATGCTAAATGGCACAAGTTCCAGAACCTCTTTTGAATTTCAGAGAATGCTCATACAGGAATAGCACAAAAGCAGAAGTCTTTTATTTTCTGGGACAGATCTTATGTGTTGGCTGCAGAAAATACAGGTTCACTTGATTGCAGAAATGATTAATGCTACATATTATGTTGCACGGAGGTTTTAGAGATGCAGTAAATTAACACTGAACTTCTGTTTTTACTTCATGAGAAATAGTGTAAAAAAACCTGGAATCGACCACAGTTGATGCATCTGCGTATAAGAAGTCATCTACTTATGTGAAATGATCCATGAGAAAAATCATAGTGCAAAATTTAAGTAGTGAAAAAGGAAAAAAAGAGGGAAAATAAAAAAGGAAAACATATTTAAAGTGTTGTTAAATCATGCATTAAAAGAGTTAACTTAGCTATAACAAGAATAGTTAATATTTAAAAGAATAGGATTGAAAATGTAATGGAGGAGCAAATAAAGGTAGAATCCTCTTAATAAAACATGAAAATTAAGAATAATTCTTAATAAAAACAATCTTAAGAAAAGCAAGCTGTAGGATACAACCTTACTTAGTACAGCCTTCAGAAACCTTACCCATATGAATGTGGAACAGAACAAGGATGCACTTGTTGCTGCACTTCTGGAGCAACAAACTGAGGAAACATAGTAGCCTTTTGTCAAGGCTTTATGGTCTTTGTTATCAATATTCCACATCATAAAATCACATAAAGCATTGGGAGTTAAAGAGTTAATGCCCCACTTCCATGGACTGCCGATTTTCCAAATGCCTGGCTCTCAGAAGAGAAGAACTACACAGCCTGGAGGATTTCATGCTCAGGGGGTCTCTCTCTCTTGCTGCCTGGCAGTGTGTGCGTGTGCTCCCTAGCTGCTTCACTTTCAATGCAGAGTAAGGCCCTTGGTTTCAGAACACACACTCTCTTTGTCTCATTTTATTTATTAGCTTCAATTCCAATTATTGAAAATACTGTATTATAGTGTGTTATCTTGCATTACTGGCTTGTATTAGGAATGGTGTGGTGAGCAGGATGAGGGAAGTAATCCTGCCCCTGTACGTGGCAGTCGCCTCACCTCAAGTACTGCGTTCAGTTTTGGGTGCAGAAAGGATACTGAAGTGCTGGAGCAGGTCCAAAAAAGGGCAACAAGGCTTGTGAAGGGCTTGTGGAATATGCCCTACGAGGGGGGACTGAAGGAACTGGGGCTCTATAGTCTGGGGAAAAGGAGGCTGAGAGGAGACCTTATTGCTCTCTTCTAATATCTTGCTTACAGCGAGAGCAGGATTGGTGTCTTCTCACTGGTGACAGAATGAGGGGAAATGGCCTCAAGTTGTGTCCGGGGAGGTTTAGGTTGGATGTCAGGAAACACCTTTTTACATAAAGGGTTGATAAGCACTGGAATAGGCTCCCCAGGGAGATGGTTGAGTCACTACCCCGAATGTTTTTAAAGATTGTTTGCATGTGGTGCTCAGGGACACGATTTAGCAGATTTTGTTAGAGTTAGGGTAGTATGGTTAGGTTGTGGTTGGACTCAATGATCTTTAAGGCTTTTTCCAACCTGAACAATTCTACAATTCTGATATATTTAGTAAATTAACTTTCCTCCTCTTTGCCACTGTTCTGCTTATAGCCCCCCCTAGGTCTCATAGGTCCCCTGACCCATTAGTCAGAGTACTGGGCCGAACCAGCCCATACTCCATTAAAATTCCCTTCTGTCTGCTCCCCTGTTTGGGCCGGTGGCCTTGCTGTCCCCCCTGTCACAGACACAGACAGAGATAACTCTGTGACAGCTTTACTATGTTTAGGAAATAAGTGATGAAACAAATCATGGTTTACATTAATAAGATCATAAAACCATTATTTTTATTTCTTTTCAACAGAAAAACAAAAGCATTCATTGATGTTTATTAAAGCAGCAAAGGTTGTTACTCCAGAACAGCAACAAAACAAAACAAAAAAACCCACTCAAAAAACTCCTGTACTCACCTACAAAATAAAACTGAAAACAAGGATAAGATTCATACAGAGCAGTTTGAATTACATGTTCTATAAAGACAGAACAGTCGAAGAAGATAATAAATACAATCACAAAACCACACCTTAAGGAGTGCATATATCTTTCAAACCTTAAAGACTTCAGTTTTTTAAGGGTAGCCACAAAGAGAAATAAGAATAACAGCATAACAACCTCAGAACAAAAAAGATGGTCACAACAGAAACTGCACATAAAAAAAGAGAAAAACTTTTTGCTCAAAGGCCCAACTGATCCCAAAACAGAACACACTCAAAAAAGAGTAACACCAAAGCAAGCAACTGCAAAATACAGCAAGGCCACTCTAACCATGTGTGCAAAGTACAAAACTTAAAAAATAAAATCAGAAAACACAAAATAAATGACACAGAAACAAAAACAAAACAGAGAAAAACAAACAAACAAAAAAAGCACTAACCAAATCCAATCCTTACACACCAGACTCAAACTAAGTCTAATTAACCACCGCAACATAGTCTCGAAGAGGGGTTGAAAACACCTGTTCTAAACAGCTGAGGCCAACTGATCATTGACTACATAAGAGTGGGCTCGAAAGGGCCACTTGTCCTGCTGCTCACAACAGGTACAGTCCATTGGGGAGTCACTGTCGTATTAAGGGAGTGCCGCGGTCGGAGCCGCCCGTCGGAGGGGGGGTTTTTGCGCGGTCGGAGCCGCCCGTCGGGAGGGGGGGTTTTTGCGCGGTCGGAGCCGCCCGTCGGGAGGGGGGGTTTTTGCGCGGTCGGAGCCGCCCGTCGGGAGGGGGGGTTTTTGCGCGGTCGGAGCCGCCCGTCGGGAGGGGGGGTTTTTGCGCGGTCGGAGCCGCCCGTCGGGAGGGGGGGTTTTTGCGCGGTCGGAGCCGCCCGTCGGAGGGGGGGGTTTTTGCGCGGTCGGAGCCGCCCGTCGGAGGGGGGGTTTTTGCGCGGTCGGAGCCGCCCGTCGGAGGGGGGGGTTTTGCGCGGTCGGAGCCGCCCGTCGGAGGGGGGGGTTTTGCGCGGTCGGAGCCGCCCGTCGGAGGGGGGGTTTTTGCGCGGTCGGAGCCGCCCGTCGGAGGGGGGGTTTTTGCGCGGTCGGAGCCGCCCGTCGGAGGGGGGGTTTTTGCGCGGTCGGAGCCGCCCGTCGGAGGGGGGGTTTTTGCGCGGTCGGAGCCGCCCGTCGGAGGGGGGGTTTTTGCGCGGTCGGAGCCGCCCGTCGGAGGGGGGGTTTTTGCGCGGTCGGAGCCGCCCGTCGGAGGGGGGGTTTTTGCGCGGTCGGAGCCGCCCGTCGGAGGGGGGGTTTTTGCGCGGTCGGAGCCGCCCGTCGGAGGGGGGGTTTTTGCGCGGTCGGAGCCGCCCGTCGGAGGGGGGGTTTTTGCGCGGTCGGAGCCGCCCGTCGGAGGGGGGGTTTTTGCGCGGTCGGAGCCGCCCGTCGGAGGGGGGGTTTTTGCGCGGTCGGAGCCGCCCGTCGGAGGGGGGGTTTTTGCGCGGTCGGAGCCGCCCGTCGGAGGGGGGGTTTTTGCGCGGTCGGAGCCGCCCGTCGGAGGGGGGGTTTTTGCGCGGTCGGAGCCGCCCGTCGGAGGGGGGGTTTTTGCGCGGTCGGAGCCGCCCGTCGGAGGGGGGGTTTTTGCGCGGTCGGAGCCGCCCGTCGGAGGGGGGGTTTTTGCGCGGTCGGAGCCGCCCGTCGGAGGGGGGGTTTTTGCGCGGTCGGAGCCGCCCGTCGGAGGGGGGGTTTTTGCGCGGTCGGAGCCGCCCGTCGGAGGGGGGGTTTTTGCGCGGTCGGAGCCGCCCGTCGGAGGGGGGGTTTTTGCGCGGTCGGAGCCGCCCGTCGGAGGGGGGGTTTTTGCGCGGTCGGAGCCGCCCGTCGGAGGGGGGGTTTTTGCGCGGTCGGAGCCGCCCGTCGGAGGGGGGGGTTTTTGCGCGGTCGGAGCCGCCCGTCGGAGGGGGGGTTTTTGCGCGGTCGGAGCCGCCCGTCGGAGGGGGGGTTTTTGCGCGGTCGGAGCCGCCCGTCGGAGGGGGGGTTTTTGCGCGGTCGGAGCCGCCCGTCGGAGGGGGGGTTTTTGCGCGGTCGGAGCCGCCCGTCGGAGGGGGGGTTTTTGCGCGGTCGGAGCCGCCCGTCGGAGGGGGGGTTTTTGCGCGGTCGGAGCCGCCCGTCGGAGGGGGGGTTTTTGCGCGGTCGGAGCCGCCCGTCGGAGGGGGGGTTTTTGCGCGGTCGGAGCCGCCCGTCGGGAGGGGGGGTTTTTGCGCGGTCGGAGCCGCCCGTCGGGAGGGGGGGTTTTTGCGCGGTCGGAGCCGCCCGTCGGAGGGGGGGTTTTTGCGCGGTCGGAGCCGCCCGTCGGAGGGGGGGTTTTTGCGCGGTCGGAGCCGCCCGTCGGAGGGGGGGTTTTTGCGCGGTCGGAGCCGCCCGTCGGAGGGGGGGTTTTTGCGCGGTCGGAGCCGCCCGTCGGAGGGGGGGTTTTTGCGCGGTCGGAGCCGCCCGTCGGAGGGGGGGTTTTTGCGCGGTCGGAGCCGCCCGTCGGAGGGGGGGGTTTTGCGCGGTCGGAGCCGCCCGTCGGAGGGGGGGTTTTTGCGCGGTCGGAGCCGCCCGTCGGAGGGGGGGGTTTTGCGCGGTCGGAGCCGCCCGTCGGAGGGGGGGGGTTTTGCGCGGTCGGAGCCGCCCGTCGGGGGGGGTTTGCGCGGTGGTCTCCCCTGGATTTGTACAAGCGACCATTTTGTTGAGTTTATTTATTTTCTTCTTTTTTCAGGTCATTGGTGAGCATACTGTGCTGGGTTTTGTTCCTGGTAACCCCCTGTGACTACATACTTGGTTCTTAATGCTTTTTTTTTTTTTCTTTTTTTTTCCTCTCCATTAGTTCAGACTTTCCTGTTGGTTGTTATTTTTGTTTGCTGTTTTCTTTGCTGTCATAGTTGTGGTTTATTTTTTTCTTTGTCGACTATTGTGTGTCTTTAGAAAATGAATTGGTTTTCTTGGTTGTGTAGTTGATTTGTGTTGTCATTCTAATAGGTTTCCATCTCAGTCTATTGCTTGACGTAAGTTCGTATGCGCTGTTGTGACTGGTGACCATCTTGCATATTGGCTTGGGTGTAGTCATATTTGGTATCTTTGGGGGTATATAAATTATCTCCATCCACTATGGATTTGTGAGAGATTTTTTTGGGACCTAGTTGGCAAAGCATCCTATGAAACTAGCTTTTAGAGTTTTAATGCTGAGGCCTGATATAGGTCTGCCTTGATTCAGGGCCTGTGTATATGGATGGCAATCTTTCTGTGTATATAGGATATTTGTATTTTATTTTAGATTAGTAGTATTAATTGTTCCTATAAGATAGAGTTAATTTGCAATGTTAGGATGAATATGTATATTTCAGTAGTTATCTGCAGGATCTTTGCTATAATGGTTATTGTGCTGTAGTAATGGTAGTATGGTATCTAACTTGTTCATGTGGAAAGAAGAAGCCAGTAGTAAGGCCAAAACTAGTAGATAGCATTACTCCCTTGGTTGCTCCTGGAACCCTGGCCAGGTTTTGGGGGTAAAACCAACAGGAGACAGAGGAAACCAGATGTTCCGCCTGATTGTTACGTAGATTTTTTTGTTCAATGGTATGAAGGCTGGACCTGCTTGCAGCGATGATGGAGACCTGGACTGCGGGGTGGACGCGCTGCCGTAGGACTTCCCAGTTGCCGGGACGGGTTCTCCAGATACTCGCTGCAACCAGGGCTCCCCAGCAACTGCGGGTCTGGATGGTGGTCCAAGTACTAGGGCAATGATTGATAGACTGAAGTCATAGAATAGCTTAGGTTGGAAAAAGCCTTAAGTCCAAACACAGCCTAACAGTACTATCATAACTTTAACAACCCATCACTAAATCATGTCCTTGAGCATCACATCCAGATAGTTGTTAAACACATCCATGTGCCTTTCTTTATCACTGTCGCTACCCTCAGACAGTGAAAATCAGATGCATTACTTTGCTTATTTTTTCTCTCATTAAGCTTACTATTTGACTGTAGGTACTGCTTTATATTTTCATTATTTTGAAATCGAGGGTAAACTAAGCTTGTCCTTTTGTGACTGTATCATTCCTGTTGACCTTGTCAGTTGGCAGAGTATCTGGTGTCATATAGCAGATTTGAACAAAATGTCACACTTGAAATGTAAACAGAATGTATTTCCTCCATCTGAGTTTCCTGGGTGGGAGCATGCTTCATACAGTTCACTGGTTCTTGATCTGTTTGAACTATGTGCACATTAGTTGAAAGAAGCCAAACTGATAGGTGTGTTAAACTTTGTTCAAAATTAAAAAGCCCATTGATAAAGGATAATTAATTGGGGGCTTGGGAAGACAGAGATGGATCTTGTTAACAGTCTATCAGAACCAGCACCAATAGGAAGAGCAATTGTTGCCAGGATGTTCTCATATGCAGGAAACAAGTGTGTGAACTGCAGAACCAGATTGGGATGTTGCAGTGTTGAAATAAAGTGCATGTTGATAAGCTGGGAACTTATCAGAATTTAGCTGCAAAGGCTGCCGTTCAGGTCGTGCGGAATAACAAGATGAAAGAACAAATGAATCTTCAGGAAGTGGATTTGGCGGTTGCAGAAGCAGGTATGCAGTGGGATCCTGATAAATGGGTTGGAGATGGTTGGGATTCGGTTGATTCTGCTAAGTCTGATTCTTCAGACCAAGTTTTGAGTGTGAAACGAGTGTGGAGAAAGGAGAGATGAATTGGATGCTGTTGAGCAGCCAGTGAGGAAGGATGTGGTAGAGCACTGTATTCCTTTATGAAATAAAATGTATAATTGAGTGGCTTAACTAAAGGCCAGGGAAGTCTCTCATTTGTTGGATGATGTGTTTGTATGACTAGGGAGCATTCTGTATCGCTTCAAATGTAGGAGATACTAAAGGGATTTCAGTTTTTAGTGTGGACACCTTTGTGCAGCTTAACTTCCTAAGTCATGAGACAATTATTAGTTAACCCTGGTCCCTCAGTTATGTAACATTAAGTACCGTACGGAAAATGACTGGCCAAGATCTTGAGTGTCTGTGGTACACTTTGTGGGTTTGTGTACGATGAACCAAGGAGGAAAGGGTGAAGTAGGCCTTGATCCTGGGCGACACTGGCAGTTTGACCAGTCATAGTGAGGAATGGAGTGAAAAAGACTACCCCACCTTATATAGAAATGTGATCATGAGTCTTAGTCAATGAGACCCCCTCAGTGAAGTAACTTCAAAAAACAAAAACAAAACAAACAAAAAACACCACCAACCAAAAAACTCCATAGCAATTAGTGATCTTGGGGAATGGGACCCCTGTGAAAGTGCAGGAAACCAAGGTATCCACAGTAGTAAGGAAAGTGAAAGCTAGGTTTCTCAAAGTGGAGTGTTTATGGTTTTACTGAAAACCAGTTTCTCTTACATTAAGATTGATGGTGTTCCAACCCGTGAATCATAGAGAATATATAGACAGAGGATTGAACAAACCTAAAAGAGAAGTGCAAAATTCTGAAACAGCAGGTCTAGAACGAACTCAGTCAACAGCACCTCCTCTGAATCCTCAATGGAACTTTCATCTTTTCATGGAGGGCCCCTGTGAGTGGATCGACTGTTCCGGGGAAGCAAGAGGCCTGGGAGCTGCTTTCTGACTTGCATCCATGGAAAGAAGCTAGGGAAATAGCAGCATAACAGAAAACAGACTGAAATGATGACCCAGCTCTGGTGCAATGTGCATGGAAGGTCTATTGACTCCATGTGAAGCTTTGAATAATTTGGAGAAGCTGGTCCTCCTAAATTTTAAAACCCTTAATTGATGCTGGGATGGAGGCCTCTTCAATGTATGGAAACCTTAAGACTCTTAAAGTACAGCCCATAATTATTACCGATTTGAGAGGGAAACAAATTGAAGGTGTGCAAGCACAACTAGATATGAAAATAGGGAACCTCCCTAAATAGTTGTGTTCAGTTATTTACTCTGGGATCAGAACAGTTGGAATTGATAGTTTGAAAGGACTGACCTTGAATCTCCCTGATAGTTGGTATCAATCGGAGGTAAAGAATTATATTAGTGCCCAAGCAAACAGTTATAGTGAAAGAAGTATTTTTTATTTCTTTTTAAAAGCTACTTTAGCTGTTAATTCCAGCTGTAGCTAAATTAGTAACCACGAAACAATACAGAATGCAATAGTTCTGAAGTCGATAGCATTACTCCCTTGGTTGCTCCTTGAACCCTGGCCAGGTTTTGGGGGTAAAACCAACAGGAGACAGAGGAAACCAGATGTTCCGCCTGACTGTTACGTAGATTTGTTTGTTCAATGATATGAAGGCTGGACCTGCTTGCAGCGATGATGGAGACCTGGACTGCGGGGTGGACGCGCTGCCGTAGGACTTCCCAGTTGCCGGGACGGGTTCTCCAGATACTCGCTGCAACCAGGGCTCCCCAGCAACTGCGGGTCTGGATGGTGGTTCAAGTACTAGGGCAGTGATTGATAGATAGACTGAAGTCATAGAGCAGCTCAGGTTGGAAAAGACATTACAGATCGTCAAGTCCAACCATAATCTAATCATACTACCCCTAGCTCTATCAACCCACTGCTAAATCACATTGGTTTTTTTGTTTGTTTGTTTGTTTGTTTGTGTGTGTGTTATTTTGAAATAGGCAGTAAAGCTTATCCTTTTAGTTGATGTGTGTGTCCTTCCTTCTGTCCCTGTCAACTGGCAAAATGGGTCCCTCTGTCTTGGTCACTTTGTGCTCTCAGAAAGGAAAACTTACAGCTGTTAGGAATTTCAAAATAGCTCAAGTCAATCAGTCAGGGCTGGAGGGCTCTAGAATAATTGGAAAGGTGTGCAGTCACTGACCACTTCACTTCTCCTGGCCATTCCCTTTTTTCACCTGTCCTGCATATATCAGTATTTCATATCGTTTTGTAGCGGGAGGCTGTTTTAAGCTGGAGTACAGTACCCAGGAGCTGCCCATCTTAGGTCCTGCGCTTCTTGCAGTCTTGGCTCTTGTCATGTGAGTTGCAGCTCTCGAGAGGCAGGTAGTCTGACTAGACGCTGAGAGGTTTCTTTTCACTGTGCTATTCCCTGTAGTCTCCTGTATTCCCTATGTGATTTTTGATTCTAGGTGCTGGTAGAGAGCTCTCTGCTCTTCCACGAGGCCAGACAGGAGTGCCTGCCAGTAAGGACTTGGACTTGCTCTCTCTCCTCCCATTTTTGTTTGTTTGATTTACTATTTCTAATTATTCTGTATTATATCACGTTATTTCAAATAAATTACCTCTCTTGTTCTCTTAAATGAATTATTGTGGGTTTTTTTCCCCTATTTTGTATACTAAGTCCTGAAAGACCTCCTTGAGAATGTTCTCAATCCGTTCTCCCCTCAGCTACATACAGCTCCCCTCAGCTCAGAACCATAATTGAGATATCCCCTATTTATGTGTAGGAGCTCATGATTGGCCTTTTTGAATTTAATGAGGTTTGCATGCATTCATCTCTTAAGCTTCTCACAGTTCATGTGGATGGCATCTCTTCCCTTCAGTGCAGAAGCAGCTGAGCATCATCTGTGAGCTCCTGAGAGTGCTGTTAATCTTGCTGGGGATCATGACTAATCATATCATAATTCAGACACTGAGATGTTGACCACAACTCTGAGTGCAATCATCCAGTCAATTTTTAATCCATCTGTTGGTATGTTTGTCAATTCCATATCTCTCCAAGTTAGAAGAAATTATGTTGTGGCAGACAGTGTCAAATTACCTGTGCAAGTCCAGGTAGATAACACCATGGGGTCTTCCCTTATTCACCAATGCTGTATTCCTATTGTGGAAGTTTACAAAGCTTGTCAGATGTG